AGGGGCTGGTCAGTGAGGTCTTCCCTGGTCCCATGTGTCTCTGCAAGTATTTGCTGGCAGTCATGGGGAATCTCAGTGCCTTTCTCGGTGGCTGGTAGCAGCGTGGCGGGGTTTAGGGTGGCAGGGCTACCAAACTTGATCTTTTCTGGATTTAATAGTAATGCCTGATAATAGGTCACCCTGGCATTTGACAGCCACCTGTCAGGAGGTTGTCTAATGATGGACTCCACTGCATGAGGTGTTATAACAGTTAAGGGCTGACCCATAGTGAGTTTGTCTGAGTCTTTAACCAGGGATGCTACTGTCGCCATGATTCTCAAGCATGGGGGCCAGCCAGTTGCCACATTGTCCAGTTTCTTTGAGAGATAAGCTACTGGCCTTTTCCAGGGTCCCAAAGTCTGAGTAAGGACCCCTTTTGTCATCCCTATAACAGTGCTCTTTTTATTTTGTCAAAGGCTCTCTGGTGTTCTTCAGTCCAGATGAAAGGAATCCCATTCTTTGTCAAGGTATATAGGGGAGCCGCTATTTCAGTGAAACCCGGTATCCATAGTCTACAAAATCCCGTGCTTCCCAAGAACTCTCTGAGTCCTCTGGCTGAGGTTGGTGGGGGGATAGAAGCTACTGCCTGTTTCCTGCTTTCCTTCAGCCAACGTTGCCCTCCCTCCAACCTATAGCCCAAATAGTTCACCTGCTGTAGGCAGATCTGGGCTTTCTTTGCTGAGGCCCGGTATCCAAGTTCCCCCAGTCTCAGTAGGAGAGCCTCCGTACCTTGCAGACAGCCAGCTTCTGTCTCTGCTGCTAAGAGGAGGTCATCCACATATTGAAGAAGCATAATCTGTGGGTTTCTTACCCAAAAGTCAGCCAGATCATGGTGTAGAACTTCATCAAACAGAGTAGGGGAATTCTTGAACCTTTGGGGAAGTTGTGTCCAGGTTAGTTGCCCCGATATTCTGGCTTCAGGGTCTTTCCATTCAAAAGCGAAAATGGGCTGGCTAGCCGGGCTCAATCTTAGACAGAAAAATGCATCCTTCAGGTCAAGAACAGTATACCACCTGTGACTGGGAGGCAAGGTACTCAGGAGATTGTAAGGATTTGGAACAGTGGGATGTATATCCTCTATCCTCTGATTGACTTCTCTTAAGTCTTGGACTGGTCGGTAGTCATTTGTTCCTGGCTTTCTTACGGGGAGCAGTGGGGTGTTCCAAGGTGACTGACAGGGGCGGAGTATGCCTATTTGTAAGAGTCTTTGAATGTGGGGTCTAATTCCCTCTCGAGCCTCTCTGCTCATAGGGTATTGCTTGATTGAAACCGGGGTTACAGATGGTCTTAGAGTGACCATTATTGGAGGTTGGTTGGATGCCAGTCCCGGGCCTCCTGTCTCAGCCCATGCTGAGGGGAATTTAATTAGCCAATCAGATATACCAGGAGTCCCTGTTATTGGTTCTTCATATAACCGATGCTCATCTTCTAATCGTAGGGTTAATACCTGTAGTGGAGCTCCATTTTTTCCTTCTAGAGTAGCTCCCTTTTTAGTGAAGTAGATGTGGGCTCCCAGCTTAGAGAGTAAATCTCTCCCAAGAAGGGGATAGGGGCAGTCAGGGACCAACAGGAACGAGTGGGAAACCTGTCCTGTACTGAAGTCCACTTTTCTTTCTGTGGTCCACCTGTATATCTTTCCTCCGGTGGCCCCTTGGACCCAGGCTGTTTTGGAACTCATAGGTCCCTTGGTTGTTGTCAAGACTGAGTGTTGAGCTCCCGTGTCTACCATGAAGGTAGTCAATTGCCCCCCTATCTTTAAAGTTACCCTGGGCTCAGGGGGGAGCTCCTGGCCCTGACTCCCCTAGTCCCCTAGAGCCAGGACTTGGGCTGTCTTTTTTTGTCTGTTCAACTTCTTTGGACAGTCTCGAGCCCAATGTCTTCTTTCTTTGCAATAGGCACACTGGTCTTTATCTACTCGAGGTCTTCTTTTGTCTCCCAGGTCCCTACCTGGCCCTGTTCCCTGGACTACTGTGGCCAAAATTTGACTTAACTCTTTATTTTTCTTCTTCTCTCTCTTATCTTCTCTGGCTTCCTGTTCTTTTCTAATTCTATCCTCTCTCTCTTCTAATGTCTTATGCTTATTGTAAATTTTTTCAGCTTTTCTTATTAAATCTTGTAAGGAGTACCCCTGAAGGCCTTCTAACCATTGAAGTTTGCCACGAATGTCAGGAGCAGATTGCCCCATGAAGGCCATAATAAGGTCTGCCTGATGCTCCTGAGCTGTGGGATCAAAAGGGGTGTACATCCTATATCTCTCTATGAGGCGCTCTAGAAACCCTGCGGGGGTTTGATTTTCTCCTTGGGTTATAGCATGTACCTTTGTCAAATTGGTTGGGCGCCTTCTGGCCCCTTTGAGACCCACTAACAGAGTCTGGCGATAAAGACAGAGACGCTCCCTACCTGCCACAGTTTCAGGGTCCCAGTTGGGTCTGGTCAGAGGAAATCCTGCATCTATTTCATTTGGGAGCAGAGTGGGTCTCCCATCCTGCCCAGGGACATTTTTCTGGGCCTCCAGGATGACTCGCTGTCTTTCTTCTGTGGTTAGAAGGGCCTGGAGGAGTTGCTGACAATCCTCCCAGGTGGGTTGGTGGGTGAGGAGAATAGACTCTATTAAAGCAGTTAGAGCCTGAGGATCCTGAGAAAAAGAGGGGTTATGAGTCTTCCAGTTATACAAATCAGAGGCTGAAAAAGGCCAGTACTGGATCTGATTCCCTATAGTTCGGAGAGGAAAAACCTGGGCAGTCCAGGTTCCATCAGAGGGGCCCCCTCTATCCCTCCTTAAGCGGAGTCTGTTAGGTAGAGGAGGGGATTTGTCAGGTTCAG